AAGGGACAGGGGAAGTCTGGAACTTTACCCTTCTCTGCCGTTTACCATGTTACAAGTGTTTATTTGTTTTGTGGTTTTACTTTTAGCCATGTCTTTTCAGCTCGTGTCTTCTGTTGCCTATGGCGCACACACTTTACAAGCAACTATTACCGCTACAAGTACGACCACACCTTTTTGAGGTCTATTTAGAGTCCGGGTTGCTCAGAGTTACCTAGTCGGTTGTTTCCTTCGGAGCTGAAGCACAGTGTGTCTCCCTGTGACCAGTCAAACGTCGTGCCTTGGCTTTGCTGGGGCCGAAAGCTGACTTCAAGCTGACGAGAGGTGGCTGTAAAAGTCACAGATTGCTGGCAAGTGCAAGCCATTCAAACTCAATTACTATTTCCATGGATGATGTTGAAGCAGAGGCTGGCTGAGGTAAACAATTGGACCCCCGCTTACCTTTTCAAGCATGACCAAGGTCTTCTCTCGTTTCCCCACTTTGACTCTCACGATATCATCATCACGATATTTGGGCCAGACTATTACTTCACTGCAACAAGTATGTCTGTACGGTACCTGACGCTCACATCAGATGCGCGGCAGCCGAACGGGTGCCAACTCCAATACATGATGATTTTTTAGCCTATCCGACAGTATCGGATGACTGCTCATCTATTGACCATCACGAGGCCAAACGCCCACAAACGCGATGCCTGCAATTCTCCAATCGACGTCATTTGTGATCCGTCTTGGACGACCAAGCGGTCGACGAGGGAAAGAAAAGAGGCACTGCTCTGTGCAACCGCACAACCAGTCACAATGCGCAAAGAACAACCCGAAACGTCCCAGAGGCCACATTTTCCGGCTCGCTGCCGTTCACTACAGCGGTCAAGAGCGTTTCATCACAAAGCCATCAAATAGACCAGGGTTTGTACGGGAAACCAATGCTCGTTTCCGTTGGCAGGATTGATTGCCATTGGCAGGAATGATTGCCATCCTGCTGTCTTGCCAATACAAACGTCGCGGGTCTGGCTTGACACGCCATCAAACCGCGTTCAAGTGCATAGAACGGGCGGACACGTCAAATTGGAAAAGCAATGTCCATCTCTAGCTTCCACTCGATGCCTGTTTCTTTTGTCGACATGCTTGAACTACCGGAGCTGTGGGAAACGGTGTTCTTCGGGAGTGTTGCATGACTGAGATGAAGCTTGATTTAAAAGTCCAAGGTTGGACATGCAAATGGTGGTGTCACCTGTAGCCTCGATATACGGAGGAAGTGGCTCCTACATAATACAGGTCTCCAAAACTTTTCCATTGACACACGATGGAGGAAGGGCGGAGTTTCCATTGGTGGCCGTTTTGCTGTCTGTGCCTTTTTGACTTCTGCGATGGGGACAGGGTGATAAGATCTGGCCATCCTTCTGAATGTTCGTCTTTTCACTTCGGTCTGCTATCCTGAGTTGTTCCAAATACTGACTTAACACTATAGCGGGTTCTAGAACACCAGCAACGGTTGAGTTCGACTACGAAACATTGATCTTCAACCCGGAAAACCCACAGTATATTTCACCGCGCCAATGGGGGAGAACCAGGACCTGTGTTCTTGCTGCACACCTAGACTGCATGAGAAGATTTCCTCCTTTTGACAAGCACGTTGTATTGAACCTCCTACACCATGATTTCCCACCCTCGGATTCCCGAAAACGGGAAAGAATGCTGGTTCTTCGACAGTATTGCCTTGATATTTCCGGGGAGCATGCCGATATCACATTGGACGCTCTTCGAGAACAGGCTCGAATAGGCGTGAGGGACTTGATTCGTGGACCAAACCTGGTAAATATCCTTTCTAGCAAAAAGGCAAGATATTTACACTTCGTGGTCGATCCATCAAAACCCATTTGGGGAATATCGACCACGTTCGAAAATGCTCGCTACCTTCAAGGCCTTTCAAACAAGGCTGGCAAGGACGCATTCCTGGTAGTCTCCGAGCCGCAGAAACTCTCGAGCGGAGTCTATCTCGCTTCAGATCACCTTGGAGTCAGGGCAATCTCCTTTGGTGAGACTGATGTGACACAGAGCTGCCACTATGAGCAACCAGGAATTTGGTGGACTTTCCAAAACACCAACAAGTTGGAGCGATACTTTTTGAAATGGTACAGTGATGTGAGTCGGCCCGTGACTTGAGCTACAGGCAGAAGATTGACAAAGACGAACCGCGCAGGGCTTTAAAATGCGCGACTTGCACATGGTGAGATTGCAAGAAGACGTTCTGGGTCCGCTGGCAAGGTGGTCGCTGCTACCGCCAAATCCGGAAGCCATCTGGTACCTACATCTCGATGACAGGTCCGGTGGTCGACACTATTTCAAGGTTTTGGAGTGTGAAAGCCCTGAGATTACCGGCTATTCAGCATGCCTGCTTGACGAAGACCTGTTTTACTTGCATGGTCATCGTGAGGGCGAGGACTTTTCATTCTATAGTGAAGGCCGGGGAGAACGACTACACGCAGTGTGGCTATATTTTCCAATCGAGAAGCACGAGCGGATCGTCGAAGTCTGGCGCCTGAGGAGAAGGTCGACATTCTGGCGCGATATCCTTCTGGTACGTTACGAAGGCTGGACAGATGACAACCCGTAAATAGGTGCTGATGCAATCTAGCTACGAACGAACAAGAGTCGCGTTTTCTTTCTAGGAGCAAACGCTAATATGTCCCAGCCAAATGCCATCTTCGAACGTGTGGCCTTATTGACCGCCCAGCCTTCTCGTCTGTGGTTCAGTTCTCAGGGAGACGGCGTCGACTGTCTTGCATTCGATTGTGAGGACAAACGCCACGACAAGAATGAAGCTCCGCCATTTTTTCACGACCCATCTACATGGTCCTCAAGGGTGAGTGCCCAGCAGGTTTTTAACAAGTCGGTTAGACTGGGAGGTGTGACTGGACTCGTACCCTGCAGAACTTGGATCCCAGGATCTACTGGGATTGTCGGTCTCATTTTCACCTATTCCGATGGCTCGAGGGAGTCGGTAGGACAAGTCCGTCTTGATCATCTCCTTCCACCCATTGAGGTTGATCCGGCAGGGGAGATGTGGATAGGGGCCAGACTGCTTCACCCCAGCGGTGCGGTCGTTGAGTCGATGAGAGTAATTCCGTCCACTGGCCAAACCTTCCATGGTGGAAACCCTTCCCAGGAAGGACTGACCTGGTTGAGGATACTTTGGCGCGGTCGCTTAGACTGGAACTTTCTGTACAGCAAATACTTCATCAATGTCAGCGGGCAGGCCAATGTAAATCAGGATATGAACATTGATATGTTGCTGGAGAGCTGGGCTGGGAGAGAATGGGAGAAAGAGCAGGTGTCGGAGGAGCTTGCTGTGCGTGCCCGTTGATAAGACACATTGGCGCTTAGAGCAGATTCCCTCAACATGTCTTTCAAGATATATGTGTTTCTTCATATCAGGCTAACAGGATCCTCGCTCCATCTTCCAACTCCATAACATCATCTGCTCTCGCCGCTTTCCCGCCCCAAATTACCGTCCCAGTCCCATCAATAGCAAAAGCACCAGCTTCCTGCCACTTATTCCCCATCGTCGTCAAAGGCCCATCATCTTCTTCATCGTCCGCATTATTCGTATTCACCGGTTTCTTCTCATTCGTCTCTTTTCTCTGTATTGCTCCAGCCACTTTTTCTCCCAACCATCCCGACTCTTTCCATCCTTGAACTTGCGTCGTTGGATTGAGTACATACCACATACTACTCGTTCCTAAACCCCAAGCTGCGTAAATAGCCCTCTCCTCATCGACTATGACGCGAACGCTCCAGGCGCCGCCAAGGAGGGATACCCATTTTTGAGTTGCTTGCTCTGAGGCGTGGGATACGGCTATACACATCAATGCATCGCCGTATCGATTCGCCATTGTACGAAGATTAATAAATGTCTTTTGAGCAACTGCATATCATCAGCATTGACCTCAGCATCTTGAGAACGGCAACTTACAAGCACAACCAACACAGCGCAAAAACACAAGCAGAACCCTCTTGCCCCCACCAACCCTCAACTTCCCCGTCTTATCAACAGGCGCTTTATCTCCTATCCCCGGGAGTCTACCCTTAGCAACAGCAGCAGGCGGAGGCGTCAACCACGGCTGAACAGTAAGCGGGAGAGACCGAACAGACATCCAAGACGTCCAGCCTGAATCAGTTTCATTATCGAGATCTGCTGGTGGGTTTTTGCGCAACTTGTTTGGCTCGCGCTTCTTTTCTGAAAAGTCAAAGACATCGCTTGGTATACCTGCCTTTTTGAGGGCGAGCTTGGTTGTGAATGATGAGAGCATCGTGAGGCTTGAGATGTGAGGGTGATGGGACTAGGGAAAATTGCGGGCCGGGCCGATGGAGATCTGGGGTGAGACAATTATAAGTAGAGCATATCACGGCAATAGATTGATTCGATAAGATTAGTGAACAAGTTGTGATGTTTGTTCTTTGTGTTGTGAAAAAGATGAGACGTGGTGTTGAGTTGAAACTCCAAAACAGGGGGTTGTGATATGACGCTAGTAAGGGTTTGGAATGGGGGCGACCTGTAGGGTAACGCGAAAGGTAAAGCTTCATCTGCTGGAATGAAGAGACGAGATCTTAAGGCATATTTGCGATCTCAAATACCAGTGATCGTTAATTGCATTGCTTGGATTCATTGAATCCTTTGGTAGTCGTCTGGTCTATGTGTAGCGTGAGGTAGGTAGATGTTGCTATAACTTGGATGACCATGAGAGACAAGACCTGTTTTTAACCAGTCATGAATATCGATGTTTGCAGCAAGCTAACCATTACTTGAGCCGCATTTGAGAACACGACTACCATGTCACCTCGACTCGTGGGGATCGCGTTTTTATTTATGTTGAACCATCATAAAACGAAGCATTATTTCCCATCCTCCTGAATGCCGTGAGCTCTCTGGCACATAGCATCCTCAATCGTGCGCAAATACTGTCTCCAAAGGATCACATCATGGAATCCCAATCAAAACCTCAAAGTCCGTAGATTGCGTAGTTGCCGTTGTTTTCGGCCTCTCGGTAGACCTTATCAAGATTGTTTGGATCTATTTGAAGCTCAAGTTAGCTGCAATATTGTTCGTTGCTAGACATGCTTTGTGGAAGTCAACAACTCACCAACATTCCCAAGGAGGAGCGTCAACGATTTGACGATCGGTTTCTGTTCGGCCGCATCAGAAGCAGCGTATTTGGCGAGAATACCACGCATCTCGTTTTTTGGTTCCCCGGACGGGTGATGTGACAATTCACATTTGCCTGAGCCCGCATCCCTGGTCTAGTCGAGTCGTCCACTCATGGGAACAACAAAGGTTGTCCGGCTTACCTGACCTCCGTCACCGTCATCCATGAGGGAATTGTCATCATCGTATCCTTCATAGTACCGGGACAGTGGTCTGAAATTTACAGTGTCTGAATCGAATCCGTGCATGATGGTGTGCTTGCTGGCCTTCGACTCCTGCCAATTCGAATCTAGGTATACTGCCCACATGGCATCTGAATCTACCGGCAATGAGTGATTCCATAGTTCAGAATCAAAGTGAAAGTCACCGACACAACTACAAGTACCATTAGTGTAGGTAAAGAGCAAACCTGTCTCGGTGTCTCTACAGTCATAGCTGTTCATGCAGGGAGTGACCTGCCTGACATTATCAAGACTTGCGGACGAATAAAAAGAGCCTGTTGCGCCCTCAAAAGCGCACTGTCTTTCATACTTCATTGGATTCTCCCATGTGGACACTGAATCGAAATGAAGCCACGCGACGCTGGATGCAGGCAAACCATCGAAGTCGCCTGTGTAAAACATGCGGGAAGGAGTGTCCTCAGGTAACTTGGCGACGCAATGGTAGGTTGCACCTGGTATATCTTCATGTGTTCCAAGGACAAGGTTGCGGCCGTGATTTGTTGTACCACCATATGATCAGTATAGCTGTCAACATATAGCACCCAGTGATCATAGCTTACTATGAGCGTGGATAGTGTTTCATGAAAACTACGAACCCAGAGTTCAGAGACTTTCTCGTGAGGGTTCATAGGAAAGAAAAGCCGCATGATCTCTTCGCGCCTTAGTCTTGGGTCGGATTCTCCAGGCCCTAATAGATTTCCGTCCTGGTGAGAATTACACTGAACAATCGCACTGCCGACAAGGCAGAAAGAATAGGCCACGGTATCGGGTTTATTCCACTCCATGGATCGCACATATGTGTGAGAAATGCGAGAATCAGAATCTCTGGGAAGTGGAACTCTTGGCCAGAGCTTGACTGTTGTAGGAGGAATATCCCATCGTATCTCAACAGATCCGTATTCGGCGAACTTCAGAAACTCGTATGGTGATTTGGTAACACCCAAACCACGAAGTTTAAAGCCCTAGACCAAGACATATCAGTAGAGTTTTGACGTTAGGTAGCCACTTTGGCAATGCTTACATCGAATCTTGCTTTCAGATAAAACGTGCCACTTTGTTGAGCGTGAAAAGTCCACTAGTACCCTTCGACTTGGCTCACGCCAGGCCGCTCTTCCCATTCAGTGAAGATGACCTTGTTGACTCCACGGCCGTTGTGACGGATGAAAACGTTGAGGGGCTTCGTGATGACCTTTCTATCAAGGACGACTTCCTCGTCTCCGCCGCGCGATTCATAGGACAATGACCGAATGTACCGACTGCCCTCATAGTTGACATACTCCGCCCATAGCACCGTATTAGTTTCGATCGGAACCGATATATTTCCTGCTCGGTGATTGTCACTCTTCGACCAGAGCCGTTGGAACAGACGAACGGTTTGCTCCTTGCAGTCGGCCGCAATTTTGCAGCAAAGTTCCTGAGGTAGACGCCCGAGACGAAGATCGAACAAATGTCGTTCGAAGGTGCGCTCCAGCCAGCGGAGACGACTTCGAGACAGGGATTTGTGCATGTCAAACCGACCTCCAAGAAAGGTCGCCACAGATACATCGTAAGACAATTGACTATCGAACATCAAGGTCCGAGAAGTACACTCTACACATGCGAGGTGATATATCATCCTATTCGTACGACGAGGGGAGTCAGGGCCCCCAAAAGTGTATTTGATGGGCTCTGTGTTTTCACGATCTATCATGTATGTGTCAGCGGTCAAGTGCAAAGCCAAAGGCGAACAATAGAATGATCTTTACATGAAATGACTTTGTCACCGTGGTCCAATCGAAACCTGCAAAGGCCACAGGATCCTGAAAAATAGAGAGCCTCGATATCAATGCCTGAACCCCCGCCGTAGGAGTCGGCGAATTCTAGTGCCATCGCGTGTCTCGCTGGTCTGTCACGTCAACACAGACATGGAAGCCGCAAGGTGGACAAGGAAACAAAACAGAATCAAAGAAGTAAGCTCGGGATCTTCAATGGAGGCTCTATAAAAGATTAATCGATTAGTTTCCAAGTTCGTCCAGAGCTACGAAAGGGTTTCCTGTAAAGTCATGGCAAAAATCTCCCCAGACTACTCAAGCTCTCTCAAAACTCATGATTGGTCTTGCGGTTCACACCTCACCAGGACTCAAACCAAGGATAATCGGCTTTCCAAGACTAAAGGATATAGGCAAGATAAAAAAGAATGGGAGACTTACCAGAATATGTTAAAAAGAATGCCCTATCGAGATAATGAATCTGGCGGTTGAGAGGGAAGTGGGAAGATATTGACTTCTCCGAGCGATGTTGACGAAAGGAGGAGAAGTGAAGATGGGAGTGAGGAAGGCAGAGGAGCGTCAGGAACTACCTAATCAAGGTCGACTGATGGAACAATCACGTGTGTTGCCTGGAGTCGCGCCTTTGACACCTGCTGGCATTGGCGCCCGAATATCTGAGGTACCCGATGCGAAAAAGCTCTAAATGGCTGTCATTCTAGGCAAGGCAAAGCATGCCTCTGCCTAAGGTAGGTAGCTTGGCCTTGTGACCTTCCACTTCCTCTTCATGATCCCTTCCGATGCGTTCACACAACTTCTGCGAGATCCCTATATTCTTTTGTCCCTTATCCTCTAAGATGGCCATAACTTAGGATATGTCATCATAAACCCTTAAAATTCATAAATAAAATTAGACTATCCTTATTTATCTCTTAGGATACAGGTTTCTCACCTCCCCAATGCCGGCCCGTTGCAGCATCCACTGTTGTTACCCCTTTCTATCTACCCAGGACCTGTCCTAGAGAACTGGAAGGACAATGATTCCTTGACATCGTGATTTTGTCCTCAAAGCCCGTATATACCATAGTTGTCGAACTCTTTGGCAATCTTTTCCGGTCGGAGATTTTCTGGAGCTGGTTGGTGGCTCAAGTTAGCATGTCATGAGTTTACATGGTCAAGACAAACTGCCTGGACTTACTAGTTTCTCCAGTCAGAATCGTACAGGATTTAGAGACTGGGTCGACGCGGTCTGCTTTAGCATCTTCGGCCAGTACATGAAGCATCTCGTCATCTGGTCTACTACGCATGTGATGCGACAATAGGCATATACTGCCATCAGATTCCTTGACCCAATCGAGCCGTCCTCTCATGGGCAGTGAGACATACTTTGGAGACCTGTCATAGTCGTCGTCGCTCTCTGTTTCGTCCTCACTCTCATCTTCTGCAGAGCTATCGTCTTGGTGACAAGTTTGTTCTTCGTCAGAGTCGTGTTCATCAGTGGGAACATCCTTGTCTTTGTGCGAGGAGAAGGAACCCAGCAGAGGTTGAGAGAAGCCAAACCACTCTATTCCACAATCGCAGCAGTGGGTGTTCTCGTCGAGGATTCCGGCCTTCTTGTACTCGACATATCGGATCCACATAGTATCAGAAGTTACTTTCTGCGGCGTCCTGAGGCTGTCGCACCGAACCTCGCCGATACAAGTTCGAGTATCATCATAGTAGGTCAAGAGCAGGCCCTCGATAATTTCGTCGTCTCCCCAAGTAAAGGGTCCTCTGTTTATACATGGCGTAATGTCTCTGACTCCATATAGTTTTGCTGATGAGTAGTGAGTGCCGATGCTCATTTCATGCGCAGGCTTCCAAGCAGGTTGAATTTGTCGGGCTTGCGGCTTTTCCCAGCTAAGTACAGAATCGAAATGGAACCAAGAAAAGGTGTAGGAATGCGCGTGGAACATGAAGCAAGGTTTATCTTGCCGTAATTTAGCAACAACATGGTATGTAGCACCTGGGCCATCTTGCTGACTTCCAAGGACGAGACTACGGCCACGATCTGTGACAATCTGTATCATCTAATGTTTAGCAGTGCCATCTCCGCATAATTTCACAGCAAAATTGATCAACTTACTATGAGAGTTGCCGTCCTTTCAGGATACTGACGGATCCAGAGTTCAGAGACTCTTTCGTCAAGATTCATAGGGAAATGCAGACACAAGAGATCGTTGGGTTCACCTGTCGTGTATTTTTGGTAAGGTACTGGCGGTCCATGGACATGGTGGAAGTTGCATTGCACGACAGATTCACCAAAAAGAAGGAAAGAATAGCCTGACGTCCCTGGCTTATTCCAATCCAGACTTTGTACATCAGTCCAAGGTATGCCACTAACGAGCGGGATCTTCGGCGAAAACTTCACAGGTGACGGAGGCACAGCCCAGCGTATCTCGCAACCATCCATAGCGAAATTGAGGAAAGTCTTCGGGGTTTTTACAACAACGAGGTTCCGGATTTTGATGCCCTGGACCCAGGTGTGTCAGAAGTGTTTGCTCCTAAGTTATAAAGCCGACAATACTTACATCAAATCGTGCCTTGAAGTGGAATGGGCGGTGTTGTTGAGCATGGCAAGTCCACCAGTAGTTATGGGCTTCCTCGGTCTCAGGCCTTTCCTGTCCTTCGGTTATAACAAGCTTGTTGACCCCTAGATGGTTATGGCGGGCGAAGATGTTCAAGGGATTCTCCGTGTTCCCTTTGATGAGAAAGTCCTCATCGCCGCCCTGTGAGTCGTAAGAAAACGATCGAAGGTACCGGATACCTTCGAAATGGGTGTATTGGGCCCAGAGAGTCGTGTGGCTGTAGACAGGAACCGATATGAAACCACGTCGAGTTTGGCGTTGCCTCCATTCCTGATGGATGAAGCGAATTGACTGTTCGCGAATGCAGTAGATGGCGACATTTCTACAGATTTCGGTGGGTAAACGCCCACGAAGGGCATGAGATAGGTTCTGTGTGACAGTGTTCTCCAACCATCGGCGGCGAGGACCACACATTTCTTCGGGCTCATTAAAGCTCCCACGGATAGTGACAGCAGCTGCAGTGAGGTCTCGTAGACTACCCGTAACGAAAGACTCGGCGTATTTGACACACTCTAGATGTAAGGAAATAGGATAGGTACTTCTGCCATGGCATTTTTCTACTCCGGGTTCTGCGGCTTTCTCCCCTGTAACTGTCAGTACCTACCTATTGTGCTCAATACCAGCAGATATGACCTTACATTTGATGACTTCAGCTTCTTCGGTAAGCTCAAACCCACAAAGACTGCAGATTCTTTCATATAAGTCCAAGTCTGAAAAGTCCCTCTTAGATGGGTGCAAATGCCGATCCTCAAAAGCCAGTTCCATCGTGATGAGAGTTAGAAGAGTTGAGGCATAAGTTAGAAGAGCTAAGACATAAGTTCGAAGATTTGAGGCATGGTTTAGAAGAGGATTTGAGGCGTAAAGAGGTAAGAGGAAGAGAAGAAGGGATACAAACAAATAGTGGGACTAAAGCCATTCACTGACGATGACCTTCGGGTATTGCTCAGCGGCATGCGTTTGGCACTGCAGGGACCTGCTGGCTGAGACTTGAATGTCTACTTCAGCCCATCTTCTTAGAAATGTTACGGACGATAACAGAAGCAATCGATTTTCCACTTTCCTTTGTCTTTCTTTTTTAACAGCAGTCGATCATCCTTTCAACTACCTTACGTCTTTGTGTCTATGCAACAAAAAGGTGTTGCAACTTAATATTTAAAACCAGCTTGTCAAAACGCATCCTAAATCTTTACCAAGTCACATTAAACTTATGCTAAGTCACCTAAATCCTTTTGTCATTTAGGATTGAGGTCATAAGTCTTCTTTCTTCTCTTAGTCAGGTTCCATTGAGTCGTCTTTACATCACAGTCTGTCACTCTGAGGCTCCGATAGAAGATCAGTGCCACTGCCTTCTTTCAACTTTCCAATCCTCCATCGAATCCACGCTTCTTCCCACGAGGACCGAAAATGGCTTGACTACGTGGCCCGGACGTGGCGTACCCGGGGCAGGTTCTTGTGCAAGTGCCTCGAGGAATTTATCCTGGGGCTCACTATCGTCTCGGTGGGACAGATGGCACTGGTGTTGACTGAAGTACCAGTCAAGACGTCCTCGCATGGGAATCTTGATACATTGCCCCTCCCATTCATCTGCATCTGGTTCCTCAATCGAGACGAAGTAAAAACCAGATTCATCCTCATCATGAGAACACCAGCTGATTTCATCTGTCTCAGGATAGACAATCCACATGGTGTCAGAGGTGACCTCAATCGGAGCAAGCAGGTGGTCAAGACGGACTTCGCCAACGCAGCGTTTGCGGCCGTCCTCGTAGGTAAGCAAAAGCCCGAGGATCCCATCAGGATGGCGCCAGGACCTACACGGGGTGACAGTTCGGACCCCTTCAAGTTCGGCAGAAGAGTACTGGTACTTGCAGTTATCAGGAAGCAGCTCAAGCCTTCTGTTCCGACGACCACGGAGTTTGAGCTTCGCGAAAGTAGATGCAACTTCAAACCTTATCCACGAACCACTCGTTTCCCAGTTCGCGAAGTACATGCGGCAGGGAGAGGTCTGTGGAAAAGTTCCGACAAGGTCATACTTGGCATGTGTTTTGTATCCCACAGGCTGCCGGTACTTCAGCTGAGGGCCAAGAGTGAGCAGGCGGCCCTTACTCGTTCGAAGCTAATAGGATATTGTTAGCAAAACGTCAATGTAGATTGACCGACCACTCACTATAAGGGTTGCCACGGGGCTAGAACTGTCTCTGGGGAGCTTGAAACCATAGCGGCGAATCCAAACCTCTGAAATTCGCTCATCCGAATCGACAGGGAAATACACCCAAGAGTATCTATGCTGTGAGGTCGAGCCGAAGTCGTAAGGGTGCTTCTCACCGACTTTGTGAAGAATAATCCTCATGATGGTATTGCCCATACATAGAATGAGTACCCGATGATATCGGGCTGATTCCAATCAATAGCCGAGATGATCTCATCACCAAGGAACGAGTTACAAGGTATCGGGGGCTCAGGAATAGGATCCAAGGTTGTTGGAAGTACTGACCACCGTAGATCTTCTGGAAACCTCGGCTGGTAATTGCGATACTTGTAAGCTGCCAGGCCCCGAAGCTTGATCCCCTGTTGTTGGTCAGCAGTGCTTGTCTTGGTCGGTGTGATCTTCTTACATCAAATTTTGCTTTCAGACAAAAAGACATTTTGCTCGGAGTGAATATTGTCCACCATCTTCCGGGTTCCTCTTTGACCGAGGGTATTTCACTATTGCGGGTTAAGATAATCTCAGTGACTCCGAGGTAATTATGCGCAATGAAGATATTCACATTGCAGTCAGAGTCTGGGTTTGACAGAATCTGAGACTCATCACCACCAAGAGACTGGCAAGAGAGGGATTTGACATAGCGAATCCCTTCAAACTCCAAATACTGAGCCCAAAGAGGCTTATCCTCTCTGATAGCCACGGAGATGCGACCTGGCTTGGGTCGGTCTTTTCTGAGCCAGTGGTGTCGAACGACCTGGACCGCTCGTTCTTGAAGACAATATTGGGCAATGTTTTCGCACACTTCAAGTGGCAGGCGGTTTTTGATAGTCTGAAAAAGTTGTTCTGAAAAGGTCTTTTTCAGCCATTTCAGACGCCGTGTCTGGATTGAAGGGAGGGGATATCGGCCTTCCTGCAAAGGTTCAAGGATAGTCGCATTGTAAATGCCGGGATCCAGCCGCTGATCGGACATTAAATCGGGTGCCAGGTTGACACATTCGGCATGGAAGGTGTGTTTGGAATAGTGAATGGTCCACCAGATTTCAGGTTCTGAGTAGGTGGTCGTCCACGGTTCACACCTTTCTTTGACTAGGTAGTAAACAGGGTCAGAAGCGAATCATTTCTGCCATGAAAGGGAACTCACAAACGACAACGCTGTCATCAATACTAAAGTTAAACCTGCAGAGGCCACACGATGGGGAGAAGCCACTGTTTTCCTTGTAATAGACTGCCTCCGTAGAATCTGTCTCGGCATCGGAGTCGATATACCAGCGGTCTTCATTTTCTAGATCCATTGCGAAGGCAAGGAAACTTGGGGCCTTGGCCTAAAGTTATAAAACTGTTTAGGTAGCTTAGCCTAAGCTTAGGGGATTCTTTACCAAGTTTATTTTGGAGTAGAATGTCAAGATGGAAGAATTGATTTGGAAGAAGATGGAATTGGTTTGGTTGACTCGGGTTACGAATGCGGATGCGGGTGAGAGTTCAGGGAACAGTTGAACCGAATCATTCTTTGTGTGGTGGATCATGCTTTTGCTGTTGGCTGCCGCTTTGTTGATTGACACTGGCGTGCACTGTCGTTCAACTGTTAGAAGACGAGGCCAGTCACTAATTTTGGTCTCTTTGTTTTGACGCGGCAGTGCAAGTGACAGTGGAAGGCACAACAAGACCACGCTGGGAGGTATTGGACCTTGGCCAGATAATCATGGATAACGAAGATGTTGAGTTTTTCTTGGGGCCAGAGAATATCTATCTGAGCCATCCTAAGGTATATGTGTGCTTTGCCACTTAGAATCGAGGTCACGAGGTTTCTAGGTTCTCTCGGCTGGATTAAGCTCTCGGCTATGAGTCTCAGCAGCAAATAACACTTCAAGCTCACAACTTAGGCATTATACCAAGATGCCTGACCAATTGCTACAGCACAAGGCTGATAAGAGAAAAACCTAGATGACTCTTTGGCCGGCCTTGGAGGCGTATAAGACTGTCGAATACCTACTCAAGACAACCGCTTCCACACATAGAAACATCCACTTCTCATCTCCTCCTCCTCCTCCTCTTCTTCTTCTTCTTCTGCTTCTGCTTCTTCTGCTTTTCTTCAAATTTCATCTGCATACCATTCTTTTTGAACAGCTTAAGAATTGTCATCCCGATTTCTCAATCATGTCCTCGTCCGGTGATGAAAACGGAGTGGAATCCGTCTTGCCAAGCGAGCCGACCGAATTTGAGACTGATTCCGACCGCGAATCTGATCTTGATCTTGATTCTGACGCCGATTCGAACTTTGGACTCGCTAACCGTGACGAGTGGGCCCATTCATACACGATGTGCCACCCAACCTGCGGCCTGTGTCGGTTCGAATTTGTTGAGGGTGAAGAGTTTGTTGTTTGTAGGTACTCCTTCTCCCCGAGGCCTATAGAAGGCAGATCTAGCTGCCCGCCAAGCTCGATAATACAAAGCACTACTAACACTTACAGATAAACCGACTAGTCAACTCTATCCTCGTATCTGGTACGGAAAATACGACCCCTTCTCTCCGAGCCAGCTTGCGATAGAGTATGGATATCATCCAGCCTGCGTTACACTTATCCAGCCCAGAAAATTGACTAAAGACTGGTATTACCATCTTTTCCATGTCACCGCCGGCAATAGTGATTTTTTTGAGCCTCCTTCGTCTTGGGATAAGCGTCGAACGCAATGGATCAAACAAACAATCGCCACAGACCTCAGACAAGCTCTCGGTGGTCGTCTCCCGCAAGAGATATACCAACACATCGCGAGCTTCTGTCTTCGCGAACGCGCATGCCAACTTCTCAAAGATCTTTGGTTCGGTCACAGCCGCCCTAATACTCTTATCCAAACTTCATACATTGGAAGGTATACTTCTGTTTGGGCGCAGTATGTCGAGGTCGAAGGGTTGCGTTACGTCAAATCACTGTCAACCCGCCGCCTCACCCAACAAGATACCTTGGTTTTCAAAGCCAGGTTCAAGAAGAGGAGCGATACTAACAGGCCCGAGACATTTCTGCATATCTATTACAGTCAAGATCATGTAGGAATACGCGGCATCATTATCACAGAGGATGAGGAGATACCCCCTCTGAGGATTGAATTGGGGCTCTCCTGGGCTGTGCATCGTCATCAGAAGACCCCGTTTCGTTTCACACTGCGAGATGATGTAAGTCAAGTCCCCATACTCAAAAAAAGCAGCCCGCTCATAGTATAAATAGCACATTAAGCTACGCAAATTGTCAATCCATCATACTATCAAACCCGACTTCATGTACCAGACAAGAAATTGGGGAGTTCTTCCAGAGAACTTTGGCTCATTCCCCCGAATTCCTCTGGCAACGAAATCCCCCTCCACTGATCGCCTGTACTTCGAGTCTGTTCGTGCTGTAGACTGGAACTCTCCCGGTATATGCGGTTACTCCTTCTACGTGGACCGACACCTGATACGCGGCATCATTTCGCACAAACTTGGAGAAAAAGAGCCACAGAAACGGGATGAGTACGGCATAACCGACGATTTATGGTTTCACATGCCAATTGACCCCGATGAACGAGTCTCTGAGCTCTGGCTTCGCAGAGGACAATGTGAGGCTCTTAGTTTAGAAATTTCGGAAGAATTCGAGACACTCATTGTTCGAACAACAAAGGGGCGCAGCTTTACTCCTGGTGTAGACTCCGCTTGTCGCTTTCCCCCAGACGAAGGTCGCAAATTCTGGTACAAGGCGATTGCAATCTTCCCGCCAGAAGGACCTTCTCGCATGTTCTATTGCAGAGCCAAGCATTTGTGGACCTACTTTGCTTTCGAGCACACACCTCAGCTCAGTAACAAGGGTAATCCTCAAGGAGTGGCTTCGTGGGGTAACTTTGAGATAGAACACTCACTCCCCCCTTCTTTCAACCCGTTTGCTAGCTATTTCAGCTTTGCCGTCTCATCAGCAAGTCTGAACGATGTCAGAACGATCACCCCTTGCCGGGCGTGGTCGGAACTATTCCGTAACGACGTCGTCGGGCTCTTATTTACATACGGCGATGGCCGTCGGAGATGCGTTGGGCTAGTGCGTCTCGATTTTCTTGATCCTCCCTTGGCGGTTCACTCGGACAGCTTCTGGCTTGGCTGTACGTACAAGGATACACCAGTTGACGAGTGCACTCCATGGCATAATAGTGTCACCAAGCTTTGTCTGTCTGAGCCAGTGCAAAACGAGGATATAGAGTACGTCAAAGTCCCGCTTAAGGGAAGACTCGAGTGGGCAGTTACACCTGACGGTAGTGCTGTTCGACATGTTGAGAAAGGGGAGCCATGGGATGAAGTCGGCCAAGTCATGGCTGGTCGGAAGGAAGTTTTGGACTATGCAAGCCCAGGTATCAAAACCTTCGCTGTGCCGATTCGTGTCATGGAAACAAACCATTTCTTGATTGAGCTTAGGGACGATGTGGATTGAGCTTGGCCGTCTACCGAGGGTTATGAGTTCAGTGTACCCGCGGGTTGTAAGATAGATATGGATTGATGGATTACTACAGATAGACTATGGGAATCTACTGTTGTGAAAGTAAACTCTCTGGATTCCACTATGATGGGTGAAAGGGGGCAACACTTCGCCTCTCAGCACCGCCTGGTGGGTGGGGAAGGCAGTCAAATACTACTCTCTTGATTGATACCTGTTATCCCAAGAGTCGCTTGGGACCTCAATCTTCCTTTCTTCTTGTGAGCAACAGAAAGGTAATGAATATAGTCCATTCCGTATCAATGCCACTTTCCATGTTCTGAGCTGCCGCTGACCGTACATTTGATCCTTCTTCCAGCTCCCTCGCGCTTTTGTCTCTCAAATACACCAATCGCGTTTCATCAAAATGAATGCGGAGGAATCTTTATAGAAAGGCAGTGTTCAGTGAAACACTGAGTTATCTCTGCCAAGATGTAGAGATCAAAGGCCTTTATCGTTTCTCCTGACGTTAAGAATAAGCCTCAGGGAGCAAGAAAGCATTAGATCTGAACAGCAGAATGCTACCATAAACTCACCAAAGGCACCCTAGACTTATGCTAAATATAGAAACATAAGCCGCCGGTGTGAACAGAAAACGTCTTAACCGCCTTAGGGAGGTTCATGTTGTTCTCCCGCTAACTAGGTTGGTGGTTCAAATGAGAGTTTGATCTTGCGCTTATCCCATGTTGTTATTTTCTCGAAACCGAGCCAAGACTCCGCATTTCTGTACTTGTAGTAGAATGTTCGTGTTGGAGTTGTTGATGGCAAATCGGCAAGCGCTTCGTAGTTGAGGGGCCTGTTGCTACGTGGTGAGCGAGATCGGATGCCAGGGCCAAGCACAAGACTGCGTCCATTGCTTATGAGAACCAATGGGACTATCAATATGATTGTGCTGCGGATTCAAGAAAATTTATAGCGTACTACGAGAGATTCTGCTCGAGTCAAGGCATCGTTATCGCACGGGAAATCTCCTGAGCGAAGCCATAGCTCGGAGATTCGTTCGTTAGGGTCAACAGGGAAATAAAGACAAATTAATTGGGCATTGTAATAAACATCAAGGAGGGCAGGAGATAACTTCCCCGACCTATATGGAACGATGGAGTCAACAAAGCTGCATTGTAGGCCAATGACTTAGCCGGAGACTCCAGGCAGGCTCCAGTCGACCACATGGACTGCTGCCTCGTGACCTGTTTCGATATTACCGGAGAGAGCGTTCAGGCAGCCAAGGTCTCTGGGTAACATCGCCAAACGTGTTCTTTGGGCATTGTGATGTCATCTTTTGTATTGGGTGACATCCAAATTGCGCAGCTTGAGGCCCTTCAAGGTCGAATCAGCTTGGGAAGTTCACATATATTATGTCCACGAGATATGACTCAAATCGAAGTTCATCCTGATATAGAATGGGAGATCGTAAAATTCCCAAGGAATGGAAACCTATCGAAGGTCAGGATCCTCAGTACTCTGAATATCATCACCCGAAGAGGCAATGACGCTGCGTACTCCCAAACTATCTTCAGTGAAGTACATTTCTAACTTCATCAAAGAGTAGAGTTTGGGATTGACTATAAAAACCATTCTATCATTCTCGTTCATGCGAACGGTTGACAGAGACTTGACGTAGTTGCGACCCTCGATCTCCATGTAATGGGCCCAAACAGTTTGGCCGTTGGAATTGGGCAGTGTGACATCTTCATTCGATCACTAGGAACTTGGCGTTGCCAGGCATCCAGGTGAAGGTTTGTTGCATACTCGTTTAAGCAGTACGTCGCAACGTTCTCGCATACTTCAATCGGAACGGAGTTTCGTCTAAGCATCAAAACATCCAGAAATGAAAGCAACGCAAACGCCCACGACCAACTTAGGAACTGCCCGACACAGAAATTCCCTTTATCGCTTAAAACTGCGACTTATCTTGGAGCAAGTCCCAGTGAAGCAAATTGATATTGACGAGCCGCATGGGAATGTAGGCAGATTGCTCTGTCCATCTAGATGAAGTGGAGATATCCCATAACAAAACTCTACAAAACACACATTAACCGCCGTCCATCCAAACCATCCCAATCCAACAGCGCAGTAAGGAGAACCTTCTGGTCAAGGAATATCAAGGGAGACCTGTTGTGTTTCAAATAGTCACAGAGAACGTTTTGACTACTCCGCGACGACGTCCTCCAGACTCAGCCTCACGGGCTAGGACCTCATCCATCTCATTTTGAAGTTCGCTGCTCTCACGGTGACGCACTTTGTGCTGCCAATAGCCCCCGATCGAGTGGCTTTCCCATTCAAGGGAGCCTGTAAGCGGTATCTCAAGGTACTGCCGGTTCTTATTCCCTAGAGGTTTATCCACCTCAAACCACTTGATCTTGTTTGCCAACAGCCAGAAGCCCTCAGTGAGAGGTTTGTTTTCTGACTTGTCACTACCGAGCCAGATCTTTCCCGAAAAAACCGTGAGAGGCGGCTCCATGTGATCGAGACGGGTTTGCCCGAGAGATCGTTGATGACCATCGGCGTATGTAATGAGCATACCGACAATTCCCGCATCCTTAGAGTATCTCCAATTTCGGCATACAGCAACTGCCCTGACATCCCGAAGCTCAGCATTCGATGAGAGGAGCTCTTTGAGTAGGAAAGGAGCAGGTCTAGGTCGATTTCGATATGGAATGACGATGGCGTGCTGTTCCCAAGTCGTTTCTCGTTCAAAGCCCAGCCAGAACTTCAATTCTTTGGTCTTGCAATATAGCATTCGAGACGGATCGCTCGGCGACAACGTAGTGATCAGTCGATAGGTGACCTTTCTGGCCTCTCCGCTAATTCTATAACCCAGAACAAAGCTCCGGCCTGTATTTGTTCGTATCTAGAATAGTATTAGTATGATTTTACCTAGTATTGATGGTATAATCGTAACTTACAATAAGAGAATTGTAGGAACCCCACGTATTGCCGTGATCTTCGATGCGAAGCCAAAGCTCAGCGATTCGCTCGCCTCGATCAACGGGTACGTAGAACCAATCACCTTTATGTCTGTTGCTCACGTCCGCCAACTGTGAAGATGGCCCGCCTATGTTGTGGGAGATTATGTCACAGATAGAGTAGTCATCTATGAGAACGGAATAACCACGGCATCCAGGTAAATTCCAGTCAACTGCACGGGTACCCTCATCTGACACTCCAAAGACGCGCCTTGGTGGACGCGGGTCGAGCTGGGAAGTGTCTAGGTCCTTAAGCAGAGCAGCCCAGCGCCTCTGTCGGTAGTCGGCTTCTGCATCCTCACCCTTAGTGATGGCCAAGTCACGTAGCTTCAGACCCTGAAAACAGTTAACAAGTGAGTATCACCAGCATTTGTCGGGGATGTGAAAGTAACTTACATCTGTTTTGTATTTGAAGCTGAATGGAAGAGGTTTTCAGCGGTCAATAACCCACCTCAAGTCTTTATCTTGATTTAGGGAAGGAGTATGGTCATCTCGAGTGATGGCAACTTCACGGATACCCAGACAGTCTTCGGCGAAGTAGATGCTGACAAGGATGCCAGGGGTAGACTCGAAGAGCTTCGTGTCACTCTCGCTTTTACGAGTGGTGGAGAGAGACTTGATATACTGAAGACCCTCAAACTCAACGTGCTGTACCCAGATGGAACTTGACTCGGTCACCCGGAGGGAGGCATGCTGAGGCCCCGCAAAGTTTTTGTTCGACCAAACGTCGTTAATGAGTTTCGTCGCGTATTCGCTCAAGCAATGGCGGCCAATAATCTCACAGATCTCGAAGGGAAGACGATGTCCGACGATAGCCATGAACTCTTGAGCAAACTTGTCCTTCAATCGACGTACACGGGCTGGTTCAACGGATGGAAGAAGTTCAGTATAGCCGACTCCGTAACTGGTGCCGTCCCGGATGGCACGATGAACGGAGTCACCAAAAGGGAGACCCTTTGCAACCAGATGCACGCATTCGGAGTGGTAACCTTTCTCAAAGAGACGGCGATGATTTGCAGATTCCAAGCCAGTCGGCTCAATGCGCTCTGGCTCCATGTACTCACCCGCCCATGGACCGGGCAAGTTAGGATTCCTGGGGTTCACTGTCGAGAGTTAGTAGGGGGGTTGGGACAGATCATTTGACAAGTGTACTCACAAACGACGATAGAGTCATATGGCTCAAACTTGAAGCAACATAGGCAGCATCTAGGCAGGGCTTGCGGTTCCTCGTTTCCACCAGATTGACCAAACTCGTCCGCCAAATTTGAGAACTCGTCTATTTCCAAGGCCGAGACCGAGTTATCGTGTATCCCAAGGGGATCCATTTCCACGACTTGTCACTTTGTTTGGCTAGATGGGTAGAGATAATGTCGTTAGCTATTTCTCAAGATAAGAAAAGTGGCAGGGTTGGAATGTGTTAAGAATAAAAGAATTGCGGTACTTATTTATAAGGCTCTGGAGTGAGCATTAGAATATCTAGATTCTCATTCGAAAGCAAGATATGAGGCAACAGTGAGGGAAATGACTGTATTGGGCTTGTCTTTGGAGTGATGGTTAAAGCTTGTGACATGCTATCAAGACATATCAAGCCAACACACAAAAGAAACCCCAATTAACTTCAGCTTTTGGAAGGCTATGTATAAACTCAGCAAACCAAGGCTCCTGATTTGAAGCAGAGTAATATACTTTCGTAATAACTTACTCAATCCGTAACCTTATTCATAGCCCAAAAGGTCGTGCGACCGAAGTGAGAGGAAATAAGTTGATGTGATTGGGGTGGAACAAGAAAAGAAGACAAGGCAAGTCTAGGTAAAATTGTAAAGCCTTCTCGGTCGTTGTTGATGCGGGCACTGCTCATCCCTCACAGCGCCAACCACGCAATGTACGTACTCATTAAGGAACAGTCAATGAGCAAACGCCGACAATTGATGCCAACGAATGGAGGGGATGATGTCTAGAACAAACGACTAGTTTGGGATTGAGATGTGCGTACGATTCCTCAACATGCGTGAACCAACGAGAGCGAAATCTTTAGACCCAAAAAGAGAAAACCTGGTAAACGCTCGCAGTCAAAACACAGGAACAGAACAGCCCAATGCGGGGGTCCAGCCTGCAACCTTGAGATCGGGTACTCGTAGGACTCGTACGCTGTACCGATTGAGCCGAGCGGGCGTGATTCTTACCTACGGGATGAGTTGGTGTGGAGACTAGGTCGCTGGAGAGGGCAGCGGGGTCGTGATGTTTTTCTTGGTGTTGAGGGGCAATCACTTTAGAGTTCGCGAAACGTTGGAGTCAACTCTATTGATCGCACCAGACCTTAATATGGGGTGTCAAAATAAACTTAGCAAAAGATATCCTAAGTTTAGTAGGGTATCCTAAATTTATATAATTTTACCCAAGTCTTTTTGTCATTTAGGATCAAGGTTCTAAGTTTCTTCCCCCCCTAGGGTACCAAGGTAAAGAGTTCTAATCTTCGCGACCGGTACATCTTGTAATCTCGACAGCATCCTGCAATTGTCAGCTCAGGTAATCACCGTGGTGGGATCGGGGTACTCACAGGAACACCAGTTGGCTCAAAGCTGTGAACCAACTTACTCTCATACACCAAATTCGGATCCCCCTGCTCCTCATTAATCTTCTCCTCGCCCTCCCTCTTCAAATACTGTTTCGCAGTTCTGTCCGCAAACTCCTCCTTCTCACCCCCCCCCTTCGCCGCCCTCTTCTCCGCAACGCTACTCCTCACATACGCCAAGTACGGTGGATTCCCCGGCTTGATGACGTTATCCGCCGCAAGGACACTCCCCGGTCCCACGAGGCCCAACCGCTCACAGAGTTTGAGATCGCTCGTGTACGCGGGCTTGTAGTGGTCGAGGAACATGAGGTCGATCTTGGAGATTGTGCCGTTAGCGTGTAGGCGGGCTAGGCCTGCGTCGCTGGGACCTACGATCACGCGGGCGATGTCGCGCAGGCCCGAGAGGTCGAGAAGGGATGTTATGACGGCGGCGAATTCGGGGTTGCGCTCGAGGGAGAAGTAGTGCGTGCCTCCGGATTTGCGGACGGCGTTGGCGAAGAGGAGGGTTGAGTAGCCGACGTAGCCTCCGAGTTCAACCTACACCGGGACCAATCACTAAGTTATTCACAAGAGTAGAGGTCAATTGGCGTACCATGACTTTGGGCTTCACTTCAGCGATGAGATCTGTCACAATCTTGCCTTTGTCTTCGCCCACGTTCATGAGATACTTCTTCGTACGTCCAAACTCATCAATGGCTTGGAGAACACGCTCCGGCGAGCCTCGCAGCTCATCAATGTCTGACCGACCATAGATGTAGTGCAGAAGCTCAATTTCGCGCCCATCGTCGAAGAATGTTTCTTCCTGCTCAACGTAGGCTTTCTTTTCGTCAAATGATGGCATTTTGTCGGTATTTTACAACAACAACAACAACAACACAGGTCGATATGTAGCTGAACAGCGTAAATGGTGAGCGGGAACTATGAGCTATATGTACCTACACGGAAAAAGATAAACAAAAGAATCGCGTCCCGTAGTGTACCCGTCATTCATTCCCCTCCCCTCACCAGATGCAGCTGCAGCTCGACTGTAAGATGCATGAGATACTCACCGGTGCCTCCACTCGGGGCCCCGATTGAGGGTCCTGGCGGGGAGAAGACCGTCCGGGCACCGTCTTCGGGTGGGGGCTCCGGACATTCCCATGACGCGCACATGCAATTCTCGTCATCATTTGCACAATTCAATCTGCTACCGTTAATTAATTTAATTAACGCGAGATAGAGTTTCCTAGTTAATCTGGTTTTTTATTTTATCGCCTCGAGAAAGTGCTGTGACAGTTTGGCATCAGCACTCAAAGTGAGTCTGGACCTTTTCTCATTGCTCCGATCTCGTGTCTCGACCACTACCTCGCACGACATGCATGTCTCTCAAGGCACATTTACTCGTCCAACAGATCAACTCCGTAATAAAATTGTATTGCCTGTATTCCCGCCCCGTCTCGCAATTACTATCAACCCTGCCAACCCAGCCTAAGCACGATCTCGAAATCAGAAAACAATTTCTCCTTTCCCTTGCGAAAACAACCCTTATACAACCATTTCCTATAGCCTGTCCCAAACCGAAACCTGTCCCCAACCAGTACGAACGAGAGACATGAAAGATAACTGATCCTAACCTTGATCCACCCTGAACCCCTTGAGATGCCATTTTTGTCTTCTTTTTTTTATGTCTTTTGATGGTATTTTTCGCCGTATATAAAACACATTCCTTTTCGCTCGCCGATTCGTGAGCATAAACACCTTGTAGATTCCCTTTCAATCCATTACCATGGTATGCGCGCCGACAACTCAAATGCCTCCATCGTGAAAGGTACTCCGAACGCGCCCCGCAGTTGATGCCAACACATGCCGTAGTCGATATCGCAGGCTGATCGGTCGTCGTAAACAGAGTGAACGCCGTAAGAACCGCCCTGTTGGGTATATAGTTGCCGCTCCCACGGTAAGCCAGACCGACAATTTCGTCAAGGCCAAAGACTCCGAAACATCTCAATTCCGAGACTGAGACTGCACCTGCCCGTTTCTTCATACCCGACACCGATTTTCCTGTCCTCAAAGTATAAACGAGACGATATAGCGACGCCCCAGTAATGTTCGAATGCAACTCCCAGTTCACCAATTCGTAACCTCCTGCCGGAAAAAAACATGAAAACAATGTCAACTCCCTAGTCGATGCCGTCCCTTCAACACCTGTGACCTTGATTGTATCACTCGGCTCTCGCCAGATCCGAGTGCCCTGTAGTGTTCGCGCCGTCTTCAACTCGAGACATGAGTTGCCAAAGACCGTACTCGCCAAAGATACCGACCGCAATGCCCGTTTACCTCTGCGCCGTCCCAAATGTAACTTTAAATCCTGCGCCTTGTTGCGACTCCTAATCCTTGGTGAGCGGACCTTTCTAACCCCAGACACTGGCAGGAGCACCGAGACCGGACGACTGACCCCAAACACCATTGCCACGTCCCCAGCCACCAGGAGAGGCAAGAGGAGTGGTAGATCGCTTCGATGAAGCTGAAGTTGTGGGTGTACCAGAAGGACGAGTTCCAATGGGAGCCACAGAGGCGCCAGCCTGGTTGGGCTTGGAACCAGGATTCAGATCCCGAGAGGGAGAGCCGCCGGTTGGGCTGGATGTACTTGTACGGCTTTGGTTACCCACAGCGTTGTCAAAGACTTTGTTTGTGGGTCCAGCAGTCTGTGGGCTGACTGTGCTGTGAGGTCGCGAGTTGGGCTCAGTGGGAGGACCATGGGCATCACCACCAGAGACGGGAGTGCCAGTCTCGCCAGTAGGGGGAGCACGGCCTACGCTATCATAGGCAAGAGGAGAGTGTCCACGGATGCTTGAGGGTCCGCTAGGGACAGGGGCGCCTGTGCGGACATTACCAGTCTCATCCACGTATCCTGCCTTGTCCGCAAAAGGACCCTCGCCATAGAGGGCACTTCGTTGACGGGCAATCAACTCTCGCGTCTCCTCCTCGGACATGTGCTTGTTGGGCGGCAGAGGCACTTCGGAAAGGACGGCTACGTAGAAAAGCTGTTAGCCCATGCTCAACAAACTCGACGATATTACATAGATGCTGCTCAAAATTGGGAGGGAAGAAACACGAGCGGCGTCTGGGCCAACGATATTTTCGGTCGCCCATGACCACATTATTTTTCTCTATATGCCATCTTGTTTCTTTGTCATAGTTGAATGTGCTACACAGTAGAGGGAGGCCTACTTCGCTGATATTGCTGCTCTGTGTGCAGGTTTCGAAGCTCTCGCTCCCGCTGAGCTGCCATCCGTCTCTTAGCCTGCATGACCTGCTCTGCCTCGTTGGAGCCTCGTGAAGGTTGATGACGCTGGTTTGCGTAGAAGTTTTGCAGATTGGGTCCCTGACCACGGGCGTCATCAAAGTTGTTTACCGAGTGCGGGCGGGGGCCGGGGGTGTGATGGGAACCACGGGAGTCTGCATGATCTTGTCAGTATGCTTATTGGGACACTCAACCAGACCAGTTCATCCGTTCATGTCGGAACCTTTGGCAGGCTTAGTAGCGCAGGATAGAAAACTCACGGCGACCACCCATTCCATAGCCCTTGCCAGACTTTTGCAAGTTCTCATATGCTCGATCGACCTCTAGAATTGGGTCAGTTTTGTTCATTGGAAAAGTCAAGTCTTGTTCGGGTTTCGAAAATGCCAGCCAAGTCGTGCCATCAGCACTGACTTCAAGGACAATTGAACTCGACAAAATCTCTAGGCGTGCTTCATCACATACCATCGAAT